GTGACACAGACTATTTGTACTTCACTGTCCAAATACAAAGAAATGCAAGAAAGCTTATTTCCTCACATTAACAGGAATCAAAAAACTTCTCATCAGAAAGTGAGAAGGAAAAATTGTGCCTGACTTCGGGATAAAGGAAAGACAGCAGCATGGTACATCCTACATAGTAACTTGCCACTGGATGAAGAATGGACAGCAATGACAAACAGACACACAGCAGATCAACCCTCAAAACACACTGTGTATACCTGTCTTAAGTGGTCGTATCCATCTCTGACAGATACCCGAGGGGTCTGTCTTTTTCTTATATTTTGGTAACAGTTGAATAGCTTGTCATGCCAATAAAGTCTCATTGAATGTAAATGTATAGTACAAGGAGCAGAGGCCAAGCTAAGGAAAGCAACTGGGAGGTGTGAGATGGTATACCAACCCTACTCTAGACCAGGAGGGGTTAAAGAGGCCTGTGCGTGTAATCAGCTTTGCCTTCCAACACCTGCAGTAATTGTCAATCCTGGAGAGAGGAGGTAAAAGAGGAAAAGCCAAGCTTAATGGGGGTTGGCTGGGAGAGTGAAGGATGATCAGCTGGAGCTAAAACCCTTGGGGCAGGTAGGCCTGGTGCAGAACCTTTTTGTTTCTTTTGTTCCTCAACTAGATTGGATCCCCTTTCTTTTGGATCCTGCAAGAGTCAGCTAGGGAAGAGATATGAGAAATGCCTACCTAAAGGCCACTGTAGGAAGCAGCCCAGGGACACAGCAGAGAGTCTGAACGAACTCTGCTTCATTCAAGGTCTCTGGGCTGGAACCCAGAGTAGAGAGCAGGCCTGGTTCCCCTACCAGCTTGTGTAGGATGGGAGCATGAAGACCACAGAGCCAAGGGCTGGCAGTCCTAAACGCCTGAAGTTGGTCCAAACCTCTGGTGTGAGGCCTCCAGACCAGTGGCACATTGTACTTGGGTTTTCCCGGAAGGGGCAGGACTAAAAGTGACCCGGCCAGAGGGCTGAGTTACAAGAGGCAGCAGACCACTGCAGGGCTGGAAGGGCAGTCAGAACGAGATACAAAGGAGAGCCTGCTACACCATGCACAGCCACTGGAGGCATGGTGGCCAGTGAGTCATATTGTCTACAAATGGCAGCAGAAACGGAAAAGAGGTGGGGGGGATGCAAGAGTTGTTCCAAGTGATAAATTTTCAAATAAACAATGAGTCTGGAAAGTTTTAGACACTTTCTAGTGAATTTTAAGTTATTTTCTCAATCTTTTTCTCTCACTCTTTTAAAAAAATAACTAAAACATTCACCAGAATGCACGCACAACTACTGACAGGTGAATGAATGGTGAAGCAGCTGATCAATAATTTTTATCTTTAATATTTAGGGCCCTACCAATTTCATGGCTGTGAAAAACATGTCACGGACTGTGAAATCAGCCCTCTCCCATGAAATCTGATCTCCCCTGCTGCTGGGAGCCTGGGGCTCCTAGCTGCTAATCTAGCCACGCTGGGGAGGGACAGTTGTTGTCCTTCCCCTGCACAGCTGCTCTTGGTGGGGAGATCAGACCCACATCCAGAGGCAGCGCAGAAATGAGACTGATAGACTTTCACTTGTGCACTGCGGCAGCCCAGGAGCTGGGCTCCGGGCTTTTTTTCCCCTCCCACTTCTGCTGCAGTTCCAGGTACTGAGCTCAGGGCTTTCGGGGCTTCCTCCCAAAGCGGCTTCTGATAGGCAGAGGGCTTTTGCTCCTGGCAACAGCAGCCTGCGCTCTTTCCCCCTCCTGTTCTGCTGCAGGTGCCGTGCCCAGGGCTTCCTCCATTGGGGGTTTCCGCTCCTGGCGGCTGCAGCTGGGGCAGCCTGGGCTCGGGGCTTCTGCCCCCTGCTACTCCAGTCAGGACAGCTCAGAGCTTCTCTTCCCCTCCACCCCCTCACAACCGGGGCAGCCTGGGCTCTGGGCTTCTCCCCTCCCCTCCCACCTCGGCTTCTGCCGTAGCTCCGGGCACTGAGCTCTGGGCTTCCTTCCCCGGCAGCTCCTCCAGGGGCTGTGGGCTTGCGCTCCTTCCAGCCTCGGCCAGGGCAGCCCAGGCTTGGGGTGTCCACTCATGAGCTGCTCCAGCCAGGGCTCTGGGCAGCTGGGGCTCAGGACGTCGTCCACCCCCGAGCCACTCCAGCCAGGGCAGCCCGGGCTCGGGGCATCCACCTCCAAGCCGCTTCAGCTGGGGCTCAGGGCAGCCCAGATTTGGGGGTTTAGCCCCCTACCATTCCAGCCGGGGCTCAGGGCTTTTGGCCCCCTGCCGCTCCAGCTGGGGCAGCCCGGGCTCGAGGCGTCTCCCCTCTGCCGCTCCAGCCAGGGCTTGGGGCAGCCCGGGCTCGCGGCTTCTGCCCCCCGCCGCGGCTCGGGGCTTCTTCCCCTGTGGCTTGGAGTGACCCGATAGGGGCTTCTACCCTGGGGCTTTTTCCAGGGCTGGGGCATTCATTTTTCCTAGGGGCTCGCAAATTGCCTGGGGGCACCTACCTTAATCTGTCTCTGGCATGGACTACAAGCTAGGAACCCTTGGCTGGGGTGCTCCCAGCAACATGGGGCAGATCCTACCCACACCTCCACCTCCGGGAACCTCCTCTAACTGCTGGGAGGGTACTGCCTTCAGAGCCCAGCTCTGAAGACAGCATAGAAGTGAGGGTGGCAATCTTGGGAACCCCCCTACAACAACTTTGCAACCTGATCCCATTTTGGGTCAGGCCCCCCCACGGTTACAGAACTGTGAAATATCAGATTTAAACATCTCAAATCATGTAACTGACCAATTTTAAAATCCTCTGGCCATAAAATTGACCAGAATGGACTGTGAATTTGGTAGGGCCCTATTAATATTCATTGTGTTGTCCCATGCCTTATTTACTGCACAACCTCTGAACCGTGCACTGATTAAACAGTTTTTGTTAGAGCTGGTTGGAAATTTTTCATCTGACTGATTTTCCGACAAAAAATGCCCTTTTTGCAAAACTTAAATTTTCCGCAGGAAATTTCCCACTCTTCTGCCAAAAGCGAAATTGACACAAGTTTTCCAGGAGGGCTGCTGAGGCTGAGTGTCCTGGCTCTCAGCCTCCTCCCCAGCTCCAGGGTTGGAAAAGCAGAAACCTTTCAGCCTCCGTCCCAGCTCTAGGGCCAGAGTCTGAGTGCTCAGGCTCGCTGAATCTTTAGCCCCAAGGCTGGGGAAAGGCTGCTAGAGTTTGGGGAAGGCTGAGTGACTGGGCCTTCTAACTCTTTGGTAGCTGGGCTGGAACGCTCTTATCAATTTGGCAGAAAATAAAACTGACAAGAGCCTTCTAGACAGACAACTAGGAAGCTAAACATTTCCATCTTTGATGTTTTGTCCTGGTTTGGGAGGATTTTATTTATTTTGGGGGGGGGGGGGAAAGGGATTTCCTTTTTCCTACCAGTTCTAGCTTTTATTACTTCCTGGTTTTCCATAAGGCAGTCATTGCCATAGTATCTGAGTTCCTCACAAGCATTAATCAATCTATCTTCACAACACTTTTGTGAAGTAGGGTGGTATTATCCTTGTTTTACAGATTGGGAACTGAGGTGCAATGGTTAAGGGCAAAACGTCCCCTTTGGGCATCTTAATTTCTGGGTACCCAACTAAGTCTGATTTTTTCGCAAAGGTGGTATGGTCCCACCACTCCAACAGATTTCAACTAGAATGGAGAGTGCTCAGTACTGCTATAAAGTCCTGGACATCTGGAGTTAGAAACACAAACACTGAGGAGCATACAATTACTGGCTACTTCTGAAAATTTTGGTCTAAATGACTTGCCCAATATCACATAAGAACTCTGTGGAAAAACCAGACACAGTTGATTCACTACACATTTTCCAACATCCCCAGTGTCTGAGTCAAGGATGCTACAGATAAACAGCCTCATTTACTACCTAACACTGCCTGATTCATTATCCAAGCTGTGTACTGAATAAAGCATGGGTTTGTGTGTGTGTGTGCGGGGGGGGGGGAAGGTAGTATGATTATGTAATTAAATACTACTAAGGAGTAAAATAATTAATTTTGGAATTTCCTAACTTGTTAACATTTCACTTTGCAAACTTTATGTTCTTCTAATTCAACTTTTTGTATTGAATTTCCACGTTGTGCGTGTGGTGTTGTGGGTTTTTTGTTTTTGTTTTTTTGTTGTTGTTTTGGTTTTTTTAAGGAAACTGAAAAACAAGACGACATTCAAGCACGTGCATCAGTTTATCTGCCTGACAATGCTGAATGAAGGGATTTTGAGATTCTGTGTTTGGCTTTCAAGGGGAGTGTAGGTTAGTGCTTAAACAAGGAACCAAAAGGTATCACCCTTGGATTCCATTTAAAAACAGCAGCAGCAGTGCTCTGTATTTACACAGTGGTTATTCACTAGGGGGTCTCAAAGCACTGCATGAAGATGGGTATGCAAAAATAAAATTGTTTATTGTCTAACACTAATGGCCATAATACTTTTCATTAATATGTTTATCTTATCAATTGTCTGCATTGTGTAATTTCTGATTTATAGTCATTGCTATGAACTACCCTCCTTTTCCCCATTTGTAAAACATATTGGGTTATTTTATTTTAGTATTGCTGCTTTCACTCCCTTCCCTTCTCAACCAGGCATAGCCTTCTTTTCGGATTGCAGAATTGTGGCATTTTGGGCAGCTAGTAAAATATTTTTAAACAACTCCTACTCATCATTCAGATTAAGTATTTCCTCCCAATCACTTTTGCTCATAATAGTTTTCAGCTCTGGGAAATTGACCTCTTAGAGGGCCAAATGTTATAGGCAGGGCTGGTGGCAATGCCTGTTATTAAGGTTGTCAGATGCTTCCCATTGTACGACTCTGTTTCCAGTTGCTTTTAAATTCTCCAATTAGAACAATTTGGACTGAAATTTTCCAAGCTGGGAAATCTAATTCTTTTAAACTGAAAAACAATTTGTAATAATATTTTTACCCATCCAAATGCCTGTGATGATTTACCTGAGTTGTAGCAACAACAGTAGTTACAGAAGGTGTAGCTGAAGGTGACAAAGACCCCACTTGCTGCAAGTGACCAGAAGCCTGCTGAGGTAAATGAGAACTGGAAACGGGAGTGCTAGATCCTGAGCCAGATACTGCATTAGGAAATGATACTGCTACATCATTGCTGCTATAAATACCTGGGGAAAAAAAAAAAAGTTTTATATAAAATTTCTCTCTTGTATTCATTAGAAGACGTATATTTACTACAGAAAATTAATCTAGCAAGTTAACTAAAAAAAGCTGAAGTCAAGATTATTTAATGCATATTACAGAAAATTACTGTATTAGGATTTCAAACACAGTGATACAAATATTCTAAACTCCAGAATATTTCAAATGTCTAAGAAACACTTGTTCTGACTTAATAATATTTTTTTCTAAAATATGTGTGACAGATCAATATAGCTTTTGTACACCATATAGAATACATCTAGATATTAGCACTACCACAATTTGCTGCTAAAATGCTTGCTTTCAAGTGAGCCAGTAATCAGTTTACTACTCCAATGAGCTATAGTCCAAGCTGAAATGGATAAAGAATTGCGTATTGTATTGTGCAACTGAAAATAAATAATTTAAATGAAAAATGCTTTTCTGAAAATAAAAAATAAACCATTATTGTACTACATATATCATTTTAAAAAACACAAATGTTGTAAGAGCATTCTTGAAGTTTAAGAAGGGTTCTTGTGTATTTTTAAAATAAAACTGACAGACAAGTCTGAGCACAGAAACTCAAAAACCCAAATGCCAGAGACTTCAAGAAAAGACACCAAATGCTGCAAGACTCATGATTAAATCATGAGAATTGGCATCTCTGTGAACGTTAATGTTCCCATAAGAAGTCTTTGGCAATTGGGAGGAAAGAGATTGGGTCTGGAATTTTCTGCTACAGCCAGGTAGGTCAAAAACATTCCTATCATTGCCAGAAAGACAAGAAACAGCTTAAATTTTTCAGCCATTCAACAGTAGGCTTTTTAGAACTGTTAAGAACCTTGCAAAATTAGCAGTAGGTTGCTGAAACTCCTAGTTTAGTTTGATTTTAAGATGGAGAATAAATTTTGCAAGATAAAATGTACTATCAGATAGTTTAATGCTCATGGAGTGAAAAACTTTATAGTTATTTTTTCAGAAAGACCAGCAATAGTTTAATTTGCCAATTCATCCAATATAGGCTTTGTAATAAAATATACTACAGTTTGACTATTTGCTGTTTTTGCAAAATCAATTTGGTTTTAGGAGGGAGATGGCTTCTCTCAGTACTTTGCTACACCCTTAAAAGAACCAGATTCTAATACCGTTAGTCACATTCAGTAGCACTTTACTCCAGGAGCAGTCCCATTGACTTCACTGGGACTAGTTTGAAAAATGTCTAACACATTAAACCACCCTATTTGTTTTTTAGGGGTGACTCAGCAGAGTGTAATACTTGAGGCTCTGGGCAAAGTCAGCATAAAACATGTGGCTTAGAAGAGTATGCTAAGGTATATGAAAAACAGACATAAAAGACACATTTTCCAGAATTCATGGATAGCTAAACATCCATGGATTATGTGACAGAAATATTAAATGTTCTGTATAATTTCTAGAAAACATGAGTAGCTTTCTGATAAAGACAGTTCTCTTGTAAGTGGGTTATAAGAGCTTTTATGTTGATTCTCACATGTACATAACTTCTCTATACTAACATAAAATGCATGGAAGCAGAAGATGTGAAAATTTGCCCACAAGAAGTTAATACTTGTTACTCTTTAAAATAGAACATGAGGAGACAAATGTTTGACACCTTGTTTAACATCACTTACACAGTCACTAAACATGGTTTCAGATTTTGAAATAAGTCCAAAAATAATGAGTTCAAAATTTAGAACAAGACTAAAAATGATCTTATTCGTGGATCATCTAGATCATTGGAGTACATGTCTTAATAGAGACAACTGTAAAAAACTTCTCAGGAATGCATACAAAATGCAAGATTTATTGCTGTGCACATTGCATGGATCTACTGACAAGTCTGTAGCAGAGCAAGAGTAAGGTATACAGCAGATTTGTGCATGACAATAAATTTTGTACTCCCTTTGCTGACATACAGAAGTAGACTTCGAATCTGGGACAGCTAATGGTAACATACACAAAGTAAAAAGAGCTTTAAAAGTGGTTGAGTTCAAATTAGAACTGACTAGCCTAAATTTAGAAAGTGCAGCAGTGAATAAAGGCTGTTCAAGTGGTGTATAGGCCAAGTTTAGACAACATACACCTTTTTTAATGTTGCTGTTGTGCACCACAGCAAACTTGAGCTTGCAATTCAGGATCTCAAAAAAAATTAATCCTATCTTTAGAAGCGTGAATGTATTTTGAAAGACATTTTAATGTTTTCCATTTCAGTCCCAAAAGAGGAAAAACATCAAACCCTTGCTGATGACTGAGGCAATAGTAAGCTATTTGGGAGGTATCTACAATACACCTCTACCCCAATATAACGCGACCCGATAGAACACGAATTCGGATATAACGTGGTAAAGCAGCGCTCTGGGGGGGGGGGGGGCAGGGCTGTGCGCTCCGGCGGATCAAAGCAAGTTCGATATAACACGGTTTCACCTATAACGCGGTAAGATTTTTTGGCTCCCGAGGACAGCGTTATATAGGAGTAGAGGTGTATATGCTGGATTGCTAGTCGGTATGGAACACTTTGAAGAAACTTTTTCAGGTAGTCCAAGTTGGGAGTATTCTTGAGGAGATCAAGACAGACAAGTCTGTGGACAGAAATCGTAGACGGATGGATGTAATGATATTGTACCTGATGTCTCTCTTTCTATCTTGAGAAATATCTCGTTTGAGGTTTTGCAAGAGGTCTCTGGTGGAACTCACAGCAATGAAAGACAACCCTGCCTCTTAAGGATGGCAAATTTGAATGGGGGAAATAATTTTGGTTTTCTGAGAACAAACAGCAACTACCACATACATGGTTTCAATGCTTTGATTTCACAGAGACCTATTGTTTAAAAAACATGTGATCTACTACAATGTACATGGAGTGAAGAGGAAAATGAGTGTGCCTTTTAACAATGGTTTCCTCTAAAATTACAATTAAGGACCATCAAATACACAAAAAGTGATCGGTTTCATATATGATTAACAAAACTTTTCACCACAGGTCACCACAAGCTTGTCAGGATATGTTCTTTTGTCCTTTAGCACTACAGGAACAGAAGATGGGTTTTCCTATAATGAACTTAAAGAACAGAAGCTATTTGTGGACAGTCAGAGTAGGCACTCAACAGCAACAGTATGCAACTCTAGTGGAAGATTGTACTTGTGTTATTTTGATTTCAAACTAGAGGAATACTACATATGATATTTAAATATGAGAATTTTAACTGACTTCAAAGTATTATAGGCTCAGTTCTGACTCAGTCTCAGATAGGTGCTGGCAGTGACATTTATTTTCTATTGCAGCATGGACAAAAGGTGTATGATCATGGAGTCAAGAGAATCAAAATGAAACCCTGGTAACAACAGTTGAAACATAAGACAGAATGCAGAAATTTGCCTATAAGACAACCACACCAGCAACAGTATTTCATTTTAAATTTACTCGAGAAAATAAGACTACAACCTGAAAATTGGGACCACCTTATTTTCTTGTCTGAAAACCAATTTGAAGTTTTAGTTTAGCTATCTATGAACAAGTAATCATTTTTTTTTTTCTTTTTCTTTTAGCAAGAGAGAGTCATAATTTCAATTCCAGATGCATTTTTGGGAAAAGTTAGAGTTTTTCATTTAACCTATTTCTGTATTATCTGAATTTTGCCTGCCTAGATGTGATATATAACCAAATTATGATATATTCAAAAATATATGCATTTAATTAAAACACTAACACTAGTAATACTGCAAGATGAGCAAGAAATAGATTACTTACTTGTGACCTTATAACAAGCCATAACTACTCTTGTTTTCAACAGTTTGGGGCCCTTTTCACAGGCAAACCACCCTCATTCTCCATCTGAGACCAACTAACAACAACATTCTCCTTCAGTTCCTTGATGAGCTGGAAGCAAAGAGCTCTCCGCATTTTAAACGTAACAGATATGCCCAAAGAATATGCATATGATAAAAAAACAAGAAAAATTTAGACACAGAATATGTCCTCTCTCCATAAGCCTGAGGGGAGGTGGGTTAGAAATTAGAAATCTAGTCAAATAGTATCTTCAGAAAATTAGAATTATAGGTAAGTAATTAGCTATCTCTTCTCTAAAAAGACTATGTTTGTTAGATTCATACTAAAAAAACTTGAAATGAGTTTCCACAAAACCAAGATTCTCCAATCTTATAGCAACAAAAATTGTACAAGACAGTTTCATATAAGCCAAAAAGAGACCATGGAGACTCACAAATCTCCATGCACAACAGGAGATATGAGAGTTGGGAGAACATTGAAGAGGTGTCAATAGTTAAAGGCAGGTCCATATAGTCTCAAGATGCGCAAAAACCTTATTTTCTTCAAGACAGATGTATAGCTGGACATTCCTTAATATATTAATATAAATTCAAATGCTGTACCAGATGCTTGCTAAGCTGTCCAGAGAACGAGTATACCAAACATTATTGACAGCCCATGGAAAAGGGCTTAATAAAGAATCTACAAGAACATCTTCCACAAGAAAAACTGGTATGAGAGAGGAAGATACTCCAGTTGGATGATAATCTCCATAAAATTATAGATCAAATGCCACACAATTTGACAAATAAAAATAACATTTGGGGGGAGGGATAGCTCAGTGGTTTGAGCATTGGCCTGCTAAACCCAGGGTTGAGAGTTCAATCCTTGAGGGGGCCACTTAGGGATCTGGGGCAAAAATCAGTACTTGGTCCTGCTAGTGAAGGCAGGGGGCTGGACTCAATGACCTTTCAAGGTCCCTTCCAGTTCTAGGAGATAGGATATCTTCATTAATTTAAAACATTACAACAATTCTCACTTATCCTGAGGGAACTGGGTTAAAATGGGAAGATCTATAGTTTCTCCCAATTATCCAGAAAAACCCTTTGGTAGGTGAGCATCAACAGAATTTGATTCTATTCACAATGATTCTTAAACAAATGGCTGTCAGTGTATACATACAGTGACTAGTCAGTA